CTCCACAACATCACTCCATGCTTGCCACTCCGCGGCACAATCATACTTTTCATCCAATTATTTAAGCCGTTTAATTTTATGTATATTCTAAAATTGTACAATACTTTTTTTTTTTACAATACTATATTACAAAATTACACAAACAAAAATATTATAATTATAATGTCACTAAATATTATAAGTTTATAATTATAATATGTTATTATATAATTAACTTTTTATATTAAGGGGTTACAGATATTTTATATACATCTATTCATTTAGTTTTATAATAATACATGATATTATAATTAAGAGACTCTTTACTTTAGTTTTTTACAAATAGTTATCAGTCATTAATTTTAATTAAATAAATTAAATATTTTAAATTATAAACAATTATAATTATTAGTCATCAAATATTAATTATCCATTATCAACTAAAAGAACTAATTCAAATATTCCCTATATAATTTCTGTTGTACATGGTGCAATTGAAGTTATAAAATTATTATAAATGATTTTGAAATAAATTAACTAATATACTTTTTTTTTTATAGTCTGGAGTGAAACACTATATTTAAATTTATTCTATACAAAAATTGAGGTAAAAGAAAAATGGTTTATTTGGCTGAGTTGTTTTAAACTATTTAAGTTGAAGAGAAATACTTCGAGGAGCAGCTCGGGGAATTCTTGATTCATCAAGACGATCACGTTTTTGAGAAAAGAATCTCGAAAATTTTGCCGAAGAGAATCATCTGCGTTTGGAAACCGAGAAAATCTCCACAGCCGAAAGCAGGGGGGCCGTTGTGGAGTGCAAGGTATTTGAAGGATAATTGGATAGACACGGATTTACCGTCGACCAAGTTCGAGAACAATCTGAAGCATCTAGGGGAGCAACAGCCGGTAACGTCCAGTAAATTGTTTTACAGAGTGGAGAACACGGTTACGCCGCAGGCAGATAATCCGGTGCTATGTGTTAAGCCGGTGACGGGGATGATTCATGGTTATGCGAAGCTGTTCATAACTCGGGAAACTTTTTGGCTTCTTCTTCCCCCTTTCAGTACGTCTGCTGAATAAGGAGCAGCGATGGCGGCTCTGCAATACCTCGAATCTCTACGAGAGTCGCACCCGGAGCTTTCCGATTGGTACAATTGCCTGGCAGATCTGTACCAGAAGAAGCTCTGGCACCAGCTCACTCTCAAGCTCGAACAGTTCGTTGCTCTCGCCGTCTTCCAGGTACCGTTTTCAGCTCTTACCTTATTCATGTGTTGCTGCATAGCTTTATGGTGAGGGTTTCTCCGTTGGGTCCTACCGACTTAGAATTTGGACGGCCCGTAAGCAATCCAGCTATGTAGGACAGGGGAATGAGATCGCCGGAGGCGGTGATTGTGCCGCGGAGTGGCAAGCATGGAGTGATGTTCTGGTTGAGGAACTTTGTGATTGCCTCTAAAATTTCAAATCGAATGCCAGAGTATCCCTGGAGGAGGGTGTTGATCCTGACCAGCATGGCTGCTCTGCTGGCTGAGTGAGGCAGCATATGTGGAAAAAAAAAAAAAGAGATGGGTTTAACTGCTGACCGTTTGGGACTTAACGGTCAGCAGTGACGGCAACATGGACGGTGTTAGTGGAGGGACGACAACGAACAAAAAAAGCCAAGTAGAGGGACGACGTTTTGGCTCTTTGGAGAGTAGAGGGACGACAACGAACATGACCTTAGTAGAGGGACAAGAACGAATAAAATATTAAAGTAGAGGGACGACAGTTGGCTTTAAACCCCCTAAAAACCAATGTGTCATCAAAACACAATAAAAAAAAGGTTAAAACCCCGATTCAGTCCCTCAACTTTCATTTTTGGACTAAAATTACCCTCTAACTTCAAAAAGTACTAAAAAAATCCTTAAACTTCAATTTTTGAGACCAATTTCATCCTTCTGTCAGTTAAGTGCTGATGTGGTGAAATTTTCCATTAAGAAATTTAATTTCTATTAATATTAAATATTACGTGGAAATAAAATAAATGATATAATATTTTTTAATTATAAAATATTATGACGTGGTAAATAAATATAATTTAATAAATAATTATTAAATAAAAATTTCTTTCCTTTCTTTTTTTTTTTTTCTTTTTTTCCTTCTCTTTCCTTT